GCAGCCACCACTGCCCTTCTTTCATTCTAACCCACTGGATATGTCTTAGGTTTTTTCTCTCATGTGGTATCAAAGGACGCGCTGGCGGAATCGCCAGCCACACGAACTGGGACTTTTGATGCGCGCGTGCGCTTTTTATTCTGCTGTCTATGGCGCAGATAACGAGGATGCGTGAAAGAACGCAGCCCAGCCCTGTTTTCCTGAATGCTATTGAACATATTTTCGGATGAAGATGAAATCGGCATGGTCTAAATGTTGGTTTCATCTGGATTGCTGTGCGGAGAACCCGAATCGATAAAGCAAGTGAAAGCAGCACAATGCTGCCTAGTTGATTGATCACTGTGCTCAATGAGAACAAGGAGAAGCACGGCTTCGATACGATGGCTGAGGAGAATAACCTGAAGACAGCTAGATTATGGAGGGATGCTGCTTTGCGCTCCCGGAAGCTGAGGAGCAATCTGAGACAGCTGACTCTCAGCACCAAAAACTGCCAGAAAATTACATTACCCGAGGACATAAAGGAGATCGAGGTCCTCAATCTGGGCAACAACTCCCTTCAAGAGCTTCCAGAGGGACTGGGCTCAACCCTAACCAGGCTTCGCATCCTCATCCTTCGAAGGAACAAGTTTGCAACAGTTCCCACTGCAGTATTTCAACTTAGTCAGCTGGTTGAATTAGATATCAGTCACAACTGCTTGAACCACTTTTCAGAAGATATTGATCTTCTCAAGGGGCTTAAAAAGTTGTGCATTAGTCATAACAAAATCCAGTACCTGCCATCTCAGATTGGGACTTTGCAAAGTCTGGAGGAGCTTGACATCAGCTTCAACGAGCTGCATGATTTCCCCAGGTCCTTTTCACAGCTCAGGAAGCTCAGAACGCTCGATGTGGATCATAACAAGCTACAGCGTTTCCCTTCTGAAATACTTGCCCTCTCTGATCTGGAGGAGCTTGACTGCTCTGGGAATAAACTAGAAGGTCTTCCGGGTAACATCATGATGCTCCAATCTATTAAAATCTTGTGGCTCAGCAGCACTCACCTCTCGTTTTTGCCTGAAACATTTTGTGAGCTGCAGAACTTGGAGAGCCTGATGCTTGATGATAATTTCCTCACAAGCCTGCCGCAATCGTTTGGGAAACTGCAGAAACTGAAAATGCTCAATCTCTCCTCAAACTCCTTTGAACATTTTCCTCAGGTTATCATCAAACTCACCAGTTTGGAGGAGTTGTATTTAAGCCGGAATAAACTGACGTTCCTCCCTGAGGAGGTAGGACAGCTGTGCAATCTTGCTAATTTGTGGTTGGACAATAATAGTATAACGTTTCTCCCGGACTCTATTGTAGAGCTAGGGAAATTGGAGGAGCTGGTTTTACAGGGTAACCAAATCGCCATCCTCCCAGACAATTTTGGAAAACTTGCCAAAGTCAACATCTGGAAGGTGAAGGATAATCCTCTCATTCAGCCCCCATATGAAGTGTGCATGAAGGGGATCCCCTACATAGCTGCCTATCAGAAGGAGCTTGCACATTCCCAACCTGCTGTAAAACCCAGGCTTAAACTGGTTTTGATGGGCCAGAAAAATGCAGGGAAAACCACACTCAGGCAGTGCATTGTCAACAAACCGTCTGATGCCAAGATGGCCATTGGATGTAGGGGTATTGACGTGACGAACTGGGTAGCGGATGCAGATCGGAGTCTTACATTCATTGTATATGATTTATCTGGTAAGCAGAACTATGATCTTATCAAACCCTTTTTCCTGTCTCCCGGAGCACTTTATGTTTTGGTGGTGAATCTGAAATTGTATACATCAAAGAGCTTCTACTCCCATGTTGGTGGTTTCCTCCACCTGCTCAGTGCCAAGGTGCCACATGCAGTTGTGTGCATTGTAGGCACCCACAGTGACTTATGTGAAGAGGTTGAGGTTGAAGAAAAGTGCCTGGATATTCACAGACAGATTTCGCTCCAGGAAAAAATGGACACTGAATGCCTACAAGTGCTTGCCCTGCAGGTTGACGAAGCCCTTGAGCAAGGTTACGACGTTCGGACTTCTAACCCCCATGTTCTGTTTTATGGGGTCACAGATAAAAACTTGCGACGTAAAAAGTCTCAGTTGCAATATATGCTCAACAATCGACTACAAATCCTCTCTCCGGTGATTTGCGTCAGCTGCATGATGGCTCATAGAAACATCCAGCATTTGAAAGAGAAGCTCATGTCTGTCGCCGATCACAGGGAGATTTTCCCCAATCTTCACAGAGTTCTGCCAAAGTCATGGCAGATGCTTGAGGAACTGCATTTTAAGCCACAGGATTTATGGCTTTCCTGGTGGGATTCGGCCCGGTTTGGCCTTCAGGCTGGGCTGACGGAGGACCGCCTGCAAAGCGCGCTCTCGTACCTACACGAGAGCGGTAAACTTTTGTACTTTGAAGACAGCATGACGTTGAAGGAATACGTCTTCCACAATCTACCCCGATTTATCGCCATCTTGAATGTGTTTTTTCAGAGAGACCTCGCTGCAATGCTTGAGAAACTACAGGCTGAAGGAGATGATGGAGATAGCATCAGGTCTACACAGATGCACGGTCACGTGGAGGGGTTTCTGTTGCATGGCTTGCTGCCGTCAAATGTGATTCGATTGTTGCTTAAGCCCCTGGTACAGACACAGCAGGACTTGCACCTGATCATGGAACTGCTGGAAAAGATGGGCGTGTGCTACTGTGTCAACAAACCTCGCAGCAAGCCGCTTAATGGAGCCACCGTCTGGTATAAGTTTCCCAGTCAGGTCAGCAACGAGGAGCCCCATCCTGAGGCCTCGGCCAGCGGGGGCTCATCGATCCCTGGTCAGTTCTTCTCGGTTGAGCAGCTGCAGATTGAATACAGGTTTCCTTTCTTCACCCCTCTTGGACTTTTTGCACGGTATAGCGTGCAAATCAACAGCCACGTGGTGCAACGGTCCGATGGAAAGCATCATATCTTTGCCTATCGGGGTAAAGTGCCTGTGACGGTGAGTTACCGGCCCTCACGGAGCAGATTGCAGCCTGAGACCCTCTACATTTCCAGCCATGCATCCTTGCCAAATATCTGGACAGCTTGGCAAGCCATTATTCCCTTAGTGGAGGAGTTAAATGTTCTTCTGCAGGAATGGCCTGGCCTTCACTACTCTGTGCATGTCCTGTGTTCCAAGTGCCTGAAGAGAGGGTCCCCCAATCCACATTCCTTTCCAGGTTAGTGTTCTGACCCTTTCCAGGTCTTGTTTCTAATACCGTTTGTGACCATAATTTCTTATTGCCACTACATGTCTGCATTAATGCTAAGGAATAGTTCACTCAAAAATTCAAATTCCAGATCGTTCCAGACTTGTATGACTTAGTGTCTTCTGCAGAGCACAAAAGAGGATATTTTGAAGAATGTTTTAATTGTATTTGCCCATACAATTAAAGTTAGAAGAGCCCAATCAACTTTGGACCCCACTCACTTTTATTGAATGGACAAAAAAGTTCAGATATTCTTTTTTTTGTGCCACAGAATAAAGAAATTCATACAGGTTTGTAATGACCTATTGAGCGTGAGTAAATTATGACAGAATTTACATTTTTTCGAGTGAACTATTGCTTTAACATAATTCAGAATGGGGTGTTATGATGGAAAACAAGCTGTTAACCAGATATGTTCATTCATTTACAGTTTAGAGACTTATTAAAATGTTTTAGTTTAACACTGATATGCAGTCATAAACCTATCAGGCATGTATTTCAGAACAAATATAAAGAGTAGCATTAATTCTGCAGTGATGAATAAGGTAATCTTTGCAGTGCTGTCACTATGGAGGCGTATGTCTGGGTTTATTGCCAAGTAAACACTGATTCAATAAAGGGTGAATCAGCGTGAAATGAAGTCATTTTGGAATGGATCTAGGCTAAACAAAGAATGAGCATGGCTGGCCATAACAAGAGAGAGGGGGGTGATCTCACTGGGTTTGAAGCCACACCTAGAAACACAAATTAGCTTGAGCTGACTGCTGTGCTGCTGAGAACTCAGCCTTGCACATCCACAGCAGTGGAGAGGGTTACCATGGTAACATCATATGGCTTTCTTCATGGGATGCAGATTAGGTGCAACAGCCACTGGCATATATAGTAACCTAGGTTCCGGTATATGTTTTTTAAAATAAAAAGAATGCTTTTTTTATACATGTATAAATATTCTTGGGGGTCTTGTATTCTGTAGTTTTGCACCCTCTTAGACTTAGGTGCCATTATTGTATTGGCATCATGTTCATGTGTCTGTAGACAATTTGGGGTTATTAAGTGTAGTTACAAAATATTGCATAAAGATGTATAGGTTAGGTTCCCCTAGGCCAGGGGTGGCGAACGTTGGTCCTGGAGAGCCACAGCCCTGCAGAGTTTTGCTTCAACCCTAATCAAACACACCTGAACAAGATAATCAAGGCCTGAAGGGTTACGAGGAAGCTGCAGGCAGGTGAGTTTTAATTAGGGTTGGAGCTGAGCTCTGCAGGACTGCGGCTCTCCAGGACCGGAGTTCGCCACCCCTGCCCTAGGCCTTGGTGTCTTCCGTCTTCATTTATGAAGGCGTCACAAGCGGAAATTTTTAGTGTTATTTTAAAGATTAAGTGGTGCTGGCTTATGTTAGAGATACAGGTCCATCTCAATAAATTAGAATGTCGTGGAAAAGTTTATTTATTTCAGTATACATGTATAAATATTCTTGGGGGTCTTGTATTCTGTAGTTTTGCACCCTCTTAGACTTAGGTGCCATTATTGTATTGGCATCATGTTCATGTGTCTGTAGACAATTTGGGGTTATTAAGTGTAGTTACAAAATATTGCATAAAGATGTATAGGTTAGGTTCCCCTAGGCCAGGGGTGGCGAACGTTGGTCCTGGAGAGCCACAGCCCTGCAGAGTTTTGCTTCAACCCTAATCAAACACACCTGAACAAGATAATCAAGGCCTGAAGGGTTACTAGGAAGCTGCAGGCAGGTGAGTTTTAATTAGGGTTGGAGCTGAGCTCTGCAGGACTGCGGCTCTCCAGGACCGGAGTTCGCCACCCCTGCCCTAGGCCTTGGTGTCTTCCGTCTTCATTTATGAAGGCGTCACAAGCGGAAATTTTTAGTGTTATTTTAAAGATTAAGTGGTGCTGGCTTATGTTAGAGATACAGGTCCATCTCAATAAATTAGAATGTCGTGGAAAAGTTTATTTATTTCAGTAATTCAACTCAAATTGTGAAACTCGTGTATTAAATAAATTCAATGCACACAGACTGAAGTAGTTTAAGTCTTTGGTTCTTTTAATTGTGAAAAGAACCACATTCTTTTACACATTTTAATTGTTCCAATTAAAAGAACCAAAGACTTAAACTACTTCAGTCTGTGTGCATTGAATTTATTTAATACACGAGTTTCACAATTTGAGTTGAATTACTGAAATAAATGAACTTTTGCACGACATTCTAATTTATTGAGATGCACCTGTATACCTCATTGAACACACCATGCCCATTTTTGCCAAATATCAGTCAAACACAGCAGTCAAAGGCCTAGTTTCATATATCATTGCATTCTAATGGTTTCACACCTCCTGCAAACTAAACATGTTTTATGACACAAAGTACAATAACTCCATAAAAGATGCAGTCACTTAAAGTGTCTGAATATCATTGCATTAAATAAAAGGTCTTACCAATTGAAACTTTTAAACGAATGATGCTCAACCTTTTCTCAGAAATAATTAAAAAAAATGTGCAACTATTTCTGATTACCTTTAATTTTACCTTTTTAATTTTGAACAGTATATCCGTTGTTTGATCATTTAAAACCTACTAAATGCATTTTTTTGTGAAACATTTGTGCTATATTCCTTTACAATAAATGCTACATGCCACATGATTTTTTATTATGTAATGTGACAGTCATATGCGTAGCCTAAATGTCCAAATATATTTTGGGCCCATTGTATTTTAAAATGGTCAATGCATGACGGTACTATGTCATTTGTGCATTACATTGTGCATATTCTGAAAAGGTGTCAAGTTATGATTTAATGTTGCTAAATAATAGTGCTGTCAGTCAATAAAAAAAAATTTCTGAAATGAATTGCAATTAATCGTGATTAAGAGCTGCCGCTGCTGAACATGATGCGGATTTGACACGCATGTTTTAATATGATATGATACAGGCTACAGCGTGCACCCGCCGTATTTGTATGTGCAATTGAAGAGCATGTGCAACGAGCACAGTATCTACTAAATGCATTTTTTTGTGAAACATTTGTGCTATATTCCTTTACAATAAATGCTACATGCCACATGATTTTTTATTATGTAATGTGACAGTCATATGCGTAGCCTAAATGTCCAAATATATTTTGGGCCCATTGTATTTTAAAATGGTCAATGCATGACGGTACTATGTCATTTGTGCATTACATTGTGCATATTCTGAAAAGGTGTCAAGTTATGATTTAATGTTGCTAAATAATAGTGCTGTCAGTCAATAAAAAATTTTTTCTGAAATGAATTGCAATTAATCGTGATTAAGAGCTGCCGCTGCTGAACATGATGCGGATTTGACACGCATGTTTTAATATGATATGATACAGGCTACTGCGTGCACCGCCGTATTTGTATGTGCAATTGAAGAGCACGTGCAACGAGCACAGTATAACGCTGACAGGATCGGAAAATGTGTTTTTTTTACTAACATATGGCCTGACAACATCTCATATGACCGCAGTTCATTGTTGTTTTACTGAAGCTGCCATGTTACCTGTACCGTTTAACTAGCAGCTGTCGCTGATGCGAAGTGGAGTGCGCGTCTGAAAATCTCCTATTTGATGTGGCCGTAAAGACGTTCTGCATCTAAATAAATGCAATTCTTGTCAAGAAAAAAAGAGACTGAAGCAGCTGTTGTAAGTGGGGTGGCCAACCCTACCTCTGCCCATATGTTAACTGTATTAAAATTTTTTAATGCTGTTAAACTAAAAATCAAAAAACAAATCCCGCACACTATGCAAAAAATATCAAAATATTTATTGACTACGTTTCGGTCACATGACCTTCATCAGGAATTTTTTAAACATGACATCACAAAGTACACCCCATTTTGTGTTAAAAAATTCCTGATGAAGTTCATGCGACCAAAACGTAGTCTTGTATTTTGATATTTTTTGCATAGTGTGTGGGATTTGTTTTTTGCTTTTTAGTTTTTTGACCTGGTTGGTCTTTGCCTCCAACGCGCCTATCTATTGTTGTCAGGTGTGCGGAGTTTAATTGTTAAATGCTGTTAAACTGCAAAAATTAATCGCCTGCACTAGCAGCACTAGTTGCTAGTTGTGCAAAAATATGTTTTTCGATGTTATTCTTGGTCTTACAAAGTCTTTCTTTTGCAACCTAATGATGTTTCACCTGGAAATCCTGTAAAATATACCAGACGCTATGGCTCATTAGGTTTACAGTAATGTTTTAATCTCCTAATGAAAGAATTATATTTGTATGATGTTTAAATAGCTGGGCAGGATGTCCTCTTAGGCTTGACAGCTTGTTTCCTGAAATCACGTGATGAGACCGGTTCAGGTGGGGCAATTCCTGACTCACAATAGTTCTTAACAGGAGCTCACAAGATGTAAGGGCCCTGTGCCATGGTAAAGACCTGTTTGGCCTGCTTTTAATGAGTGCATTAGCTTGTAAGTACCCATTGTTATTGAAGGCTGGATTAGTTGAGCTCATTAAAGTTAATAGATATCGACTGCATGCTGTATTTGTGGTAGGGATGACAATCCGTTTCTTTGTTTTACCATATATAGGTCTCTAGAGCCAAGTAAAAACAGAACAAGTTTAGCTGCAAGGTTTTTTGATCCTACCAAATTTAGCCATGATATTTTTGGCTCACTTGCTTGTTTATTCAGTGTTGAAGCTCCACTCTCTGAAAGACTAAACACAGTGTGATGCTCACAGGCAGTTCTCTATTACTTCGGAGTTCAGAGACCCAAAACCACTTTCTTTTTGGATTCATCCCGATGTCCAATAGCAGATCTATCTATCTATCTATCTATCTATCTATCTATCTATCTATCTATCTATCTATCTATCTATCTATCTATCTATCTATCTATCTATCTATCTATCTATCTATCTTTAAAGAAATTCAAACAATAAATACCGTTTTGTTGCTCTTGAAAATAGCAGAATAGCCTATCTATCTATCTAT